AACTCACATTTTTCCCTCCTGTTGATCGTACTTCTGCCTTTATATCATACCTCCTATCTGTCTTCTTGTGTTTTCTTATATCTTACATAATAGATTGATTGTAGTTCATTCATTACCTTACATTCTTGTTGTGGAATACTTGTATATTCAATGCCCACCCTAGTATGATTGCCAAATATTGCCAAATAATATTCAGACTTTCATATATTGTTCTGTAAATAGACATCCAACTGGCTGCATATTAGGTCAAATTAAAGGGCGAATTGAGCTCAAATAATCGTCAACATCAAACTCTTCTAGTTATATGAATTAAATACATCACAACTTTAATTCAACATATAAAAGTAACAAAAATCTTTCAAACAGTAGTTCAGTAGGGATTTTATATTTGTAAACCAAACTTTTTTTTAAGAATTTGGAATGAGATTTAAGTAACTTTTAACTACTTTAGAGCAGTTTGAATGTGTACAAACCAGCTCACAATGAAACGCAGCAATAGTAATTACTGTTCAGAATATCATGTATTTCCCAGGTGTGAGCTATATGGGAAGATGGCATCTGAGGACCTAAGCCAACATTCCTCTGCAGAGAAGATGGAGCCTCAGATAACTGGGGATAGAACTGCAGGTAAAAATGAAATATTCACAAATATAGTTAACATGTGATTAAGTCTAAATGATTCTGACTGTTTTACTTACAAATAACTTATTTTTTAGATAGAACAAAACAGAGGAAATATCTTCTATGTATATTCCTTACAGATGTTAGATCGGTGAGCAACTCTTGCTTCTACTTCAATCCTGATGCCTGCTCTCCAGGTACTGCACACTTTTGACCCAATTGATCCTTTTGCTTTCAGTAAAAAAAAGTTATTAAACCAGAAAAAGATCTGAAACGATAAAAAAAAACAAAATGAGCCAGTTAATCCTTGTGTCTTTGCATTTTTTCAGGAGTACGTTTCCCCTCGGAGTGTCTCCCAGAGCTACAGAGGCAGAGACAGCTTTTGTGGGATGCAGCTGCTTTTCTGCTCTCAAATCAGATCCCTGCAGTGGTAAGTCAGGTCTGGGAGTAATAACGTTCGCTTCTAATGAAATCTCTGTGTGAACCAGAAAAAACTAAAAGGTATTTTAGATAAAGCACCACAGATAACATGGCAAAGAGTGAAGACAAAAATAAACCGAGAGGGGTTTATAATTAATTTTCACCTCAAAAACAAAAGGAATTACTAAACTGCTATCAGGTAAAGCTTTGGTGCCTATGAAGTGAAAACACATACAATATATTTTTGTAGATCAAACAATAATCCTGATGGTAC